CCACCTTTTGATCGACAAGTATAAAAAAACAACTTATGTTATCGAGTCAATCATCAATAATTTATTTAGATGGCAGTACCGATCCTTGCATTTAGGAGATACAAGAATATCATAACTCTTCAACAACAACAGACAAATATGTATATATATACATGGCGTACAGCACTCATTTGTAACTAGAGGTTCTATTTATTAAAAACTAAATTAGCAAGTTTGAGGTATTGAATAACACTTGAGTAGCATTTATCAAATAATACTATCTTACAATCTCAATCAAACGATGGTTCATTTCAGTCACTGTGAACATCAGGAAATAAATAATGGAATTTGATTTTTCAGCATATCATGAAGATGATGAGAGAAAAAAAAGAGATAAGATAATCATAGAAATTCATGAAGATCAATTTGATCACAAAAAAAGTCTATTGAAAACTCTTTAGATATAACATCCGAAATGTAAGTGATGACCTATAGATTATGCGTTCGAGCTTGGTTTATTTGATCCGTACACTAGTGTGTATCATAGATTATTGTTCTTGTCTTTAAACTGATTATTTAATAAACCTATACATGATGATATAAAACATCTATCTAGTATCTTCTTCAATTTGACGACATTCTACACCTGCAGAGGTCTAAACTTGGACGTCAATTCTATCTTAGATCATGCAACGAACTCGGATATCGTTTGTTCTAGTTAGTATCAGAATGCGAAAGGACTAAATTAGATCTTCAACATTGTTAGTTTTAGCTAAAACTAGCGCTTATTCCTTAGCTTTTTATGCGTAGAATTGTTTTGCTCCAGTTACTTGCATCTAAAATTTCGAAGAGAGAACTTTACCAAAATAAATAAAGTTTTCAGAATGATTTTTTGTCATGCTGATTCCGAATACTATAGTTACTTAGCATAAAAATTAACTTTCGATAATAAAAATCTTGAAATATTTTATCCAATTTTTTTTTAATATTTTCTATATGAAAGTGATATTTATTAATATTTCACTAAAAATAAAAATGTTCACAATCTGGTTAAGTTCTTGAATATCGTCACACTGACCAAAACAAAAAATAGTGAAACAGAAAACAAAATGAACGAAAGAGCATAACCTATGAAAAATTTCGTTTTCTTTGGAGTCAATATAGGTATCAAAATATATAATGAAGTGTCTTTGTTATAAAAACACGAGACATGACTCCTTTTTTTTATCATTTAGATTGAATACAATCATGAATAGTAATATTAAATTGTAACTACACTGCTCATTATCAATGTGTTTATTTATTTAGTTTCTTTATCTATTTCGCTTAGTTACTGTTTGCACTTCCTAATTCATTGTTATTATTATATTATACGAGTCGTTGAGTAATTTTTATTATTTCTTAAGTCATATTTGTATAAATAAATGTTTCATATAGTCATTTTGTTTCTGTATATATAACTTCCTTGTCTTGTCATAAAAACAATCTTTTCCTAACATTCAATTATTATCGTATTATCAGTATGTCAAAACATATGCAAGTCGTAATAAGCAGGCCAAGCATATGAAAAATTGATTTGTATGGGTCTCTTCCCAGAGACTAATGGCTCTAATTGATAGGATAGATCAAAAAAGTATAGATGCCATAATGTCGCTGATGCGAAAAACTATCTTTACTCAGAATAGGATATTTTATTCTCACAAACAGCAATATTGATTTTGTTCAGGACAAAAATATTCCACAATTATGCTGCATTTATTCATTCCACGTTTATTTTGTTCGATATATAAGACTATGATAACATGTATTGAAGAATAGATCGATGAAACCAATGAATTGGTGTAAAAATTCAGTATTTATGATGTTTATGAAAGGAAAAAATAATACAGATTTCTTTTTTTGTGTATCAACAAGAAGTTCGACAAAACTGGAAGAGAGGGAGTATTTTTATACACAAACTTCTTTGGTTTCAAAAAAAGAAAAACTGTATAGGTTTACATTTTTATATTACAGATGAATAATGTTGTTAGACTTTTTATTCAAGACGATATCGTTGGCCTGTATCTTCTTTAACATTTAATTTAAGAAAATTTTCTTTACAAAATCAAAAAGTTCTCATCGATGAACTATGTACTAAATTGTTATAGTTGTCGTCAAAACAAAATAAAACATCTATCGTTTTTGTCCTAATCGTCAATAAATGATTTTTAAATCACAGATTGTCTTATCGTCACAAGCATTAAAGACTCCGTCAAAGATTCATTTATATTTCACAGCAAGATCTATGAACCAAGAAATATAAATTCCCAAGTTGTCATTAATTTATCAACGGAGCTATTATAATTCCTTGGAGAATCAAGAATTGATCGTTAAATTCTCTGATAGTTCTGCTATTGACATTATAGCAGAGATGTCCATCGCGGCTGAAAATCTGCCGCTGCCGCGCCGCGGCCTTAGAAAAAAAAAAGCTGCCGCGCCGCGACGGTTTATAAAAAAATGTTGCCGCGACGCTGCCGCACCGCGATGACTTATAAAAGAAACGCTGCCGCGATGAATTATAAAATAAACGTGCCGCCACCGCGCCGCTGCCGCGATGAATTATAAAATAAACGTGCCGCCACCGCGCCGCTGCCGCGACGGTTTTCAAAAAAGTATTTCTAATTTCACTGCTGTGACTATATTTGACCAGAGATATGGGTACTAGTCCATCAGGTTTATTCAATATCAGGGCGTTTCATTTGTAAATCCTGAAATTCTATTAAATTCATACAGTTTTTCGATGTCCTCCAAGAAAAATCCTGCCGCTGCCGCGATGACTTTTAAAAAAATCTGCCGCTACCGCGCCGCTGCCGCGGTGATTTTTTAAAAAACCTGCCGCTGCCGCGCCGTCACCGCCACCGCGGCAGCGGCAGCGCCGCGATGGACATCTCTGCATTATAGTCAAAGCAATGTATTTTTTGTAATAATTTTAATAGTCACACATTCATCTTCATGTAATTCTTCATTGATTAAAAAGTAACAGCAAGCACATAACATGAATATTGTGTTTATCGTCGATGAGGATGAATTATTGATTCTTTTGATGATTTGATAGCTAAATCTAGATTATAAATTTTTAATGTCATGAATATATTTGTGTGTTATCATTTAATTCAAACAAATTGAGAGTCAACTTTCAATCGCATTCAAACATACTTAAGTTTTTAATACCATTATCAGTTAGTAGAGAAACGGAGATTCTACGAATAAACTTAAAACTTTTAAGCTGACTATTCTTGGTTTCGTCAAACGTTTATTCAATTCAATACGATCAAAACAACAGGCTCAAACACTACTGCATATGAGTTACATAATCCGTTGTTTCACATGTATAGATATATGTAAAAGAGAATAAAACTCCGTCGATTATTTTTATATTCTATGTCATGCAAATCAAAAATATCAGTTCCAAACTTTACATTTTATTGTAACTGACATAGGAGTAAAGCTAGAAAAAACTCGATTTTGTGGATTGATCATGTATTTCTATGTGTATGAGAAAGACATATTTTACTATAAACCAGAACGAAGATTGTGAAAATAAATAACAGATTTCTTGGAGAGATACAAAATTCGAAGTCTTATGTTTTCATGAACTCATTGAGTTTCATTTTAACAATGATATTTCTCATTGTCTAAACTATATATTCGTAATTGAAGAGGACCGAATGCTTTTCAATTGAAGTAATACTGAAAAATCCTCGCATATGCAGGATATAAGATATCATTTGTTATGCGAAATAGAGTTCTACAATCAAGTCTGACACCCGATCTAACTGTACACCTAGCTGCGAACACAAATTGCTAGATTGTATCTGTTAGTAGATATTGAAATAAAAAAATATAGTTCGATCATATGTCCACAGATTGACATATTCGGGAATAATTGAGACATTTGAACGAAGAATTTCTTTCTTTTTGTTTGTTTGTTATTTATTTATGAAATTGAATCGAATATTTTTAAACTGACATAAAAGTTTAAAAAATCTTTCATGTTTGAAAAAAACTTCCTGAATATCGGATCAGTGTTGAGTACACACATCTAATTAGATCCTATATAGGTTCATTATACCAAAGTAAGAAAAGTTGCACTCCTACAGAATTCTAACGAGAAATTGAAATCAATCATTTTCAATAGTTACAGGGTTTGTAAATCACAACGATAAATTACAATCAGCTTTCAAATTCATTAAAACATACTTTTTTTTCTTTTATTCAAAATAATTTTAAAAACACTATTTTCATTAAATAGAATTCATACATTATAAATTTTGTATTAATAAATAACATATACTCATCACAAAAATAAATCTGAAAATAATAAACTAGTGACATCTATAAGTAGAATTTCATATTATCATAACATCGATTTGGGTATATTGTGTTTTATAAATGGCTTCTCAATCAATTAATACATTGCAAATTAAAAAAGAAAAAGTTCTTCTCGTTGTTTGTATATATACTGTCCCGTATATGGATACATTAAAATGAATCTAGACGTCGACAATATATCATTGTTCTCTAGTAAACATATATTTTATCTTTTACATATCTTGTTTTTCTTAAATTTCTATCCAATTTTCATTATTAATCATTCTAATCGACTATTTCGATTTATACTTCAGTCAATAAAATCGTCTTTACACCATTATCATCATCAATAGCAAAGTAAACTGCCCATCATCTTATATATCTATATGAATTCTTCTGCGATTAAAAAACAAAAAAAAAAAAAAGGAAAATTTGTCCTCTTACCTATAATCTTTCCTATTACATTTGTTTTTTTTTCATAAATCATATAAGAAACAATGAAATTTTTAAACTTATATTTTATCATGTTTTTTTTCCCACCTCTTTCAGAGACAACAAAGTTGGTTATACAATTAATATTTTTTCTTTGAATTGATGGTACGTTAAAAAAAAACCTGCAAAAAAAAAACTATTTTTTTTTATTTAGTTGGTTGTCTATTGATTAAATTTCAATGGATACTGAAAATACAACTGATGAACAAAATCCATCAATATCTAAAGGAACAAAACAACGTATGAAAGAACGTAGTCGTTCACAAACAACACCTACAAATACAGATATAAATGATCCGGAAAATTTAGATTATGAAGATATTGATGATAATCATTCACCAGGTAAATTAGATGATAGTCATGAATTAGAACAAATAAATAAACCGGTAAAAAAAATCAATGAAGAAATAAAAACATCAATTAATATTCAAGTAAAAACTATTGAAAAATTTTGTTTTTTTTTTTTTTTTTTGTTCAATATTTTTTTTATTCTTAATTTTACAGGATGAAGAAGATAAAATATTACATAAACCACAAGAAATAATTAATAATAATAATACATCATTAACAATGATAGATAATCCAACAACAGCAAGTGATGAAGGAGAAGTAGTAAGTATAGTTATAATTAATAAATTTATTAATATTTTTCGTTTAAAAGGATGAAGCTGATTTAGAAGATGGTGAAATTCATGATCCAAGTACATCAAAAAATCGAACATCATTTTCTGATGATCAAACATCAGAACAAAATCGTAATCGAATAAATACCAATATATTATCATCACCACAAGCTAAAGTTCATTGTCGATTTTTTCTTCAAGGTCGTTGTCATTGGGGACCTAATTGTAAATTTATTCATCCAAATAATGATGCAACAAAAAGTATATGATATTTTCATAATAGATTTTTTAATTTGTTTTTTTGTTTTTTGATATTTAGATTCAAGTGGACCATCTATTGATGTTTTATCATCAACAAATAATGAAATTACATCACCAACACTAACTGGTATTCCTATACCACAAACAACACCTACAACTAATACATGGATCTCACCACAAGCAACATCTGCTGTAAACATGCCTTCATTTTTTTTTGTTATTGTTGAAAATATGACACATAATGCCACTATCAAAAAAAAAAGTCATATGAGTTTTGTTGACAGAAGAAGAAGATAATTAAAAGAAAATTTCAGAGTTTGAAATTCTCATGTGTTGACATTGATTAGAGTTATTACCTCGTGAGATCAATCATCATTTGCTAAATTAATATATCAATTTTGAAATGAATTGTAGATATATTCGAGGCTGAAGACAAAAAAACTAGTCGTAATCATATCTATTGAATAGATCTACGAGACTAAGTTCTTTTTTTGAAAATTTCATTCCCAAACTTCTTTACTATTGAATATTCATATAGATATGTGTATGTGCAAAAAAGTTCTTATATGATTTATTTTTAGACATCTCAATTTTTTCCTAATCCAGTTCTTCGTGGTCCAACTCAACCATCTGTTATACCATTAGTAGTACCACCAACTGGTACAGAATCAGCATGGGAACGTGGATTACGTTCAGCTAAAACAGTTCGTATTTGAATATTTGTTCTAATATTTTAATTAATTCTTGTTTTTTTTTTGTTTTATATTTAGCTTCGTGAACAATCTATGCGACGTAAACAACAAGATAAAGATTTTAATGATAAGAAATTTAATTTAACTATACGTGATGCACTTGATGATAAAGATGGAGATGATAATATTTTAAATATTGATCGGTAAATTTTTTTTTGTTTTTTTCAAATAAATTTTCTCTTAACAAAAAAAAAATTCTTATTTTAGACCATCTCCAATGGATTATGATCTGAATAATTTATCTGGTTCAAATTATCCTGATCGATATCATTCATATATGTATACAGGTTCATCTGGTAATTCTCATTATAATAATAACAATAATCATCATCATCGAAATAATAATAATAATAATACTAATAATAATAATATTCGAAATAATACAAATATATTATCCACAAATGATCATTCTGATCGTCGTTTACGTCATTCAGATGATCATGCCGATACACGAAATGATAATCGAAATCGAAAAGAAAATTTATCAACAAAACATAAGTAAGAAAGTTTATTAAATATTAAAGTTAAGAATATTATTTTCAATTTTTTCTTAGCAAATTAACATCAAAAAAAGATGATTCATCATCATCTTATAGACGAAATTCATCACAACAACAGTATATATCCGGTTCACATCATAATAATGATGCACAAGCACATTTTAATCCATATAGCAGTCGACGAGGAGATGATTGGCAAGATCCATGGGATAGGTATTTTAAGAAACATTTTTTTTGAAAGTATCTAATTGAATACAGCAAAGAAAAAGAAAGTTCATAAGATTGTTTTTGAACATTTTCTGAAAACAGAGACAGTATTCAGCATTGTAAGTAGCAAGGATATAATAGGTGAGACCGGAAAAAAAGGAGCTGTGCGAACAATTTTCAAACGTAGGGAATGTCACGCTGTGAATTTGAAAGTAATTTTGTCTTATATAGTATCAGACAAAACGATTCCCGGAGTTCTTTTCTTTCGATTGCTGAAAATCGCAAGTGACTAGCTATTACCATTATGAATTTATTAAGCTGATACAATTTGATTCTTGTTCGGATATTATTTCTTTTTCAGTTATCATATGAAACTAACGTTCTGCACTGATGATTTTTTCGACTGAGAATAAACATTAAAATAAAAAATTTTGTATCGAATATTCCCTAGTAAATACTCTAGAGTAATCCGATCAGCTGAATTTTTCTCACTGAGATATCGAATTTTAACCTGAAATTTTGCTAAAATAAAGGCAACGATTTGACTGGTCGATAGAAAAAACTTCAGAATTTTTTCGACAAATGTCTCTAAGATATGAATCTTTGAAAATATTAATTTTTTTAGAATAATTCTTGGTAAGCATCTATATTTTTAAACATTCATATTTCGGAAAGTCTTAGTGAAAAAAGAATCTGAAATTTTTTTTCTACAAGCTATGTTTTTATGTGAGCAAATTTTTAGATCGAAATTCAAATGTATAAAAAATTAAAGATCTACAGAAAAAAATGCAATATCTCAATAACAAAAGGTCTAGCTGATCGAATCATTCTAAGATATTTACTTACTCGATCCTATCGACTGAATATAGTTTCAGCTTAAAAATAATTTATCACTTGAAAACTTTCTCTCATTAGTCTTGATGCAAAATTTTTATTTAGTGTTTCTTCATATGTGATAAAGAACACTTTACGAAATGTATTGATTCATCTTGTAATTGTTAAAATGAGTTCATGTTATTTCTTTAATAAGAAACATTTTAGAATCTCATCAATAAGAAATCATTCGAATTTTCTTGTGTATAAAACAATCAAATTGATATTATCTATATCTTTCTTAGATCAAGAACTCACGGTGGTGGTAATCGTCGTTCATCAGGTGGTGGTCGAGAACCATCCTATTCATCATCATCGGCTACATCATCTAGGTAATGATATTAGTTTCGTTTCTTTTCTGTTTGAAATTTTATTAATTCTCAAATTTTATGAAAAATTTTTATTTAGTTCATCTCGATCAACTCATTCACGTTCTCATTCAACTTCATCATCAAGTCGATCAAGGCAAGTTCAATAGCTAACTTATAAAATGCTTGTTTAGTTGTTGCATGATTATATATATATACTTCTTTTTTTTTTTTGCATATAATTTATTTTTACATTCGAGTTACGGTTTAGATCGAGATCGAGAAGTAGACCAAAACGTCGTTCACCATCAGTAACACGTGCAACAAAACCAATACCAACAACAAAATCATCCGAGTACTTTATTTTATTTGCTTTGTTATTATTTTTTTTCTAAGAAGAGAAAGAAAAGACATTAACTAAATCGTAAATTATTTTGCCAATTTTTTTTTTGTATCAAATAGAATGGTTAAAAATGGTAATGAAAAAAAATCAAATAGTAATAAAAAATTAGTATCATCATCATCACCACCACTACCACCACCACCAACAACAACAACAAATAAATTTCTTCCTGGTCGACAAATATCAAGTCATACATTAAAAAAAGCCGAAAAAAGTAGTAATAGTAGTACTTCAATGGTTAATAATCATTCAAAAGATCAACATGGAAAAGATTTGGATATAAATATTAAAAAACAAATAAAAAAAGAAAATCCTAAGTAGAAGAAAATCCTTGTTTTTTTTTTTTTTTTTTTTTCAAATGGTTTTTTTTTTAATTATTTAGTCGATCGGATAGTACAAGTTCATCATCATCATCAGATAGTGATACTAATCGAATAACACATCGATCATCTAGTTCATCATCGGATAGTTCAAGTTCAGAGAATGATATACGAACATCAACAAAAACAAAAATAGGTAAAATTTTATTTCGATCAATCTTCAACGTTTCGAATATATTCTATGACATGAAGTCTTGGTACACGATATTTGCTCATTCTTTTTTTTGTCTACAAAATTTTTAAAATCTGTGACGTAAGATAAATAACACGGGAACCATTCTAGCTAGCAAATCGTTTTTCGACTTGAGATCATGTTTATTTGATGAATTATAGAACAGTCTTCAATGGTTTGATTTTCTGAACCTTCGTTCCTGAGATATCAGATTTTTTAGTGAATTTTTCAACATAGAGCTGTAGTCTCCTTCAAATCACCTAGAAAATCGATTACAAACTTTTTATGAACAAAGTTCTTAATGAGATTAAGTCATTGAGTAAATGATCACTTTTCAAGTATCTTCTATTCTGAGATATTTAATATTTCAAATTCTCTTATGTGTAATAGCAAATTTTTGTTCATATATTTATATTTAGAGAAAGGAAATACTAGTCGTATAAATCAACTTATTTCGTTAAAAACTTTGTTCAAAAATTCCAGTAAAATTTCGACATCTTGAAAACGAAAAACCAAATTACTATTGACTTTTCTATTACTCTTTAGTACTCATCTAATGAACATTGTGTTAGTCGAAAAGCAATTCAATAATTGGAAAGAGTGTCATTAAAGATTGTTTCGCATTTTGAACCTTTTAATACAATCTAATGATAGCTATTCAATTTTATATTAGAACAAAAATTTTAAACACATATTTAGAAAATATAACTAATTTCTTGTGTCAAGACTTTCACGCCATAGATTATATCAACTAATATGTTGCTTTATGGCGACTACTTATAACTTTAATTGAATAGATTAAAGAAAATTTAATTGCTTAAACTTGATCTATCAATGTGAAAATATTTCTTACATTTAAATATGTCGTTATACACGTACTAGAATTAAAAGAGAATATTGGAACATTCATAACTATAGGATAGATCATTACTAGACAGTCTTTAACGGTTATATCTAACAGACATATCATTTTACATGAAGCTTTATTCTGTTCATAAAGAACTTATAAACACATTAACGATAATTCCATAAGAAGTTAAAAGCTTGATTAACTTGCATGAAATTTAAGATGATGTATCTAATAGAATATATCAACTTTCAATATTCTCTTTTTTTTTTTGCTTAGCTTCTGGTGGAGGTAAAACAACAGTTGGTACTAATAGTAGTAATCATTCAACAAAAATAATTAATCGACAATTATCTTCATCATCAGGTGGTGGTGGTGGTAATAATAAAAATTCAAATACAAAATCCAAAACTGATTCTATTAATCGTGGATCATCAAAAACTAAAGAATCATCATTAACATATGCTAAAGTAAATTTAAAAAAAAAAAAATTTTTTTTGTTTTCTATTTTAAAGAAAAAATATTTTGTTTATTCTAAAGAAACGACGTGATACATCATCATCGACAGGTTCAACTAGTGCAACAAAAAAGACAAAATTAAATAGTATAAATATAGGATTAGTAATATATAACAATTAATTTTTTTTTTTTTTTATTCATTTTAGTGGATTCTCATAAAGCATCAACTGATGCAAGTAATGCAGAAAATTCGGATTCTTGTTCGTATTTTTTGTTTAAGAAAAAAATTTTCTTTTGTTAAATTTTATTCTTTTTTTTTTTTGTTTAGGTAAAAAAAAAGAAAAACAAAAAATTTTAAAAAAATTACAAGAAGTAGAAAAACTTATAAATCAACGATCGACAAAAACATCATCTTGACTTTATTAATGCATAAAAATAGAACTTAATTGTAAATTTCTTTTCTTTTTCTTTTTCTTTTTCTTTTTTCATTGTTCGAACCTTTGTGTGTGTGCGTGTGTGGATAGTCTCCTCTATGTATATGCATATTCGAAAAACAAAAAACAAATATATCTGTGTGTATTCATGTCTATTCTACATTCATTCATTGAAAAAAAAAACAAAAGTATGGTTGCGTTATTAAATGTGGATGTAGTATATCTGTTGTTGTTGTTCTTCTTCTTTTTTGTTCTTTTTCTTTTATGATTTCATACGGTTATTTTTATGCAATGACAATAGAAGGAGACAGAAAAAAAAAGCATTATTGATCATATATTCTTCAGATTGATGTTCATACAAGAAGTGAACTTTTCGATTTATGTTATCTTTAATTGAAGAACAAGGTTTTGCGTTGCTTCGTAATATAAGTTCATAATATGTTTTTTCATCAAGAACAAGTCGGAAAAAGAAAACTAATATGTATTACTGTTTCAGCTATTCATGATGGAGTTAAGACCAATACATTATATTATCAATCTGATAGGAAATAATAACAGATTTGTTCGCTAAATAATATTAGTAAAAAATAAACACAATTGAACGAAAGTAAGAATTTGCCTTTTCTCATTTAAATTTACAATTTTGTTATGAAACTACTTACACATATCGATTCATACCCTTCTCATAATGGATATTTTTCAAGATACGTTCTAAAATATTGATAAAGACTTTAATGAGACATCAGAATGATAATCTTCACTATTAATAGAGAAAAAAATCATAAAAAAAAGAAATGAAAACGATTATTAATTTGTTTTATACAATCAAGAGTTTTCTCTAATTGATTCATAAGAAAATCATATTATAATTATCTTGCTAGTACATGCGTAACATGCTCATCAACTTCAATTCCTTTGCCTGATACGTTGGTTACAAGTAAAGCTCGCCGAATCCTAATCGCAAACGCCAACTCGAGGTAGATCGATCTTAATTCAACGGATTTAGGATGATAGCACTCGTTTATTTTTGGTTGAGGCCCAAAAAGAAGTACCCTTGGCACTTCCACGATTTTGATGTGTCCTCATTCATCTTCTTATTGAAAAATAAACTTTCATATGTCTATATTATGTCATAGATAGGACATCATCATTCACTGTAATTCTGAGTCACGAGAAAATTTCTGTTGTTTCGAACACTTTCCGCACGAATCGTCTCTTTTTCGATGGCGAATAATTATGAAATTTTCATGGAAAAGCTGAATAGAGCAGAGCTCTTACTGAAGAAAATTTCAAAGCGAATAGATGAAACTAGCTGAAGTTATGACTTTTTCTTCGACGAACCTCGTGAACTCTTTTGTCGAGACTATTTCAACATTTATTCATCAGTCTAATGGCGTAAAGTTGTTTGACACGAATTTTTTATTCGCAATAGACGTAGCGCTGAACTCTCAAATAGAGAATAAAAACCATGAGCTTTTTTTCAATATTAAAATATCTTCATCTGAAGAAAAACTTTACGTTGATCTTCTAGTTCTTTCATATGAAGGCTGATCAAGTCTTTCTTGCAAGTAGGATTCAACTCGTTTTATTCTTGCTTTGGTGAATCTGATTATTGCGTCTATCAAAAATTTTAGAACAACTTACAGAATAAAAACCATCAGTTAATCATGTACAACAAACTATTCATTCATTCGGTATTTAAAAGCATGAAGAGATATTAAAAATAAATTCTTTAATTAATTTTTTAGATTAATGTTTTTCTACTCGAGATTAATATTCATAAATTTTACAAAAAAAAAGAATGTTGTACATTTAATAAGAAATTTAACAACTGGTATATTTAACAAAAACAAATATTCTATTCATAGAAGACTTATTTTTATTATTTAGAATCTACTCGTTTTGATGCTTGTACAGGTTGTGAAATACCTTGTAAAAAACATGTTTCTTATCCATCTGCAATACTTAAAGAAATTGATCAAAGTGATATGAGAAATTCTGTTGAAAAACATCGTCGTCATTTATGTATTGGACAATCTATTTTACCTTCTCAATGGCCAAAAGATGTTAAAGATTTACAAGGAAATTATATAAAAAAATTAACAAAAATTTTACAAGAAAATAATAATTCTATTGGATATTCAATTAAATTAACGGCAACATCGATAGTTTCACAAAATAATTCAGAACAAATAGCTGATTGGTATTTATTTCCCGATCAAATTAAATTACATAATGTTCATATTAAACAAATAAAAGATATTGTTCAAAAATTATTTGTTAATGATCAATCAATTATTAAAATAAAAGATAAAACAAAAACTATTGAAGAACAACTTAAACAAAATAATCATTTACCTGTATTTTATGAGAATGTTAAATGTGAAAAATTACATGGCCTGTGGATACTTGTTTGTTGTCATTATCAACGTGATCAACGATGTGGTATGTTAAACAAATTTATTTTTTCTTTCAAAACTTACGAAGAGAGTCCTCTAACTGCTCAATCGCTTTTGAGCCAAGGTTATGTTCATTATGTAAATCCAAATGAACTATATATACCCTGAAAAGAGTTCTTATCATTAGCTTATTCCAACGAAGATAATGCGCTTTTACGCTATTTTTTAAATGAATACCATGGTAACAAAAACAATAATTTTCAAATTTCGACTTGACACTTTGCATAGAAATTGGCCATAACGAAAGTAGTTGTACGTCTTTTGATGTTCTTCTATCTTGAAATAAGAATAAACAAATCTGCTAGTTTGTATATGTGATGTAGAAGATACACTATTATCATAATTGTATCTTAAGATAGAAACAATGACAAAACTTGAAATATTCATAAGAAACTCTTTTTCATTAAAACTTGTCTCTATGCAAATTTTCAAGTCGAAATTCGATAATCAGTTTTTCTATTATCTTGGCATTCATTTTAAACAATAGCATAGAAGAACAGTATCTCTGTAGCAATAAGGTAAGAACAAGAGCTGTTTTCAGGTTATTTATAAATAATTTGAATTTAAATAATGCACATAATCTTGACTCAAAAGTGATTGACTATATAGAGAATTTATCATGTTGGAGTTGTAACCGATACTGTAATCAGTTGGCCTAGGCAATAAAATTTTCTTTACTGATCGGTTTGAATTTTTTCTCCATCAATAAAACACTTTTGTTTTTATTGATAGTGAGATAATATGCATCAGACTATTCTAGTCAGTGAAAACTCATCATTGTACATTTCATCGATTACTTTGATATTCAGTTATATTATCGAATAATTATTTAGTATACTGTCTTTTATTATAGAATTGTTTTGTATCGTCTACTGTTTATAGCATACATATATTTCGCTAAGACAAAATAAAATAATATACTGATAAGAATACAGTTAATCAATAACCGCTGTGTCTAATGAATATTGTATCATTGTACAAAGTTTATTTAGAATTTTGTAATTCTATGAAGTTTTTTGTACACTGTTAGGTGTCAAGCACGAGAAAATCTATGTTAAGTAAAGAATGAAGAAGTACTATCGGAGAGAAACAAGTCTCTTAATTATGACTGTAGGGGTTAAAATAGAGACATAATTAATCAATGAATTCATTTGATTATTTTTAGGTTAGAAAAGTAAAAAATGATCTATGTCAATTTGGTTTGACCTTAGAAACAAGTATCCATAATAGTTCCATTGGAACTTTGGAATCATTAATAGGAAATTCCAATTTAAAAATTTTAGTTGAAATAAAAATACATAACTAAAGAAGTATGTTGTACGGAAATTATTGTTTTACATGACAAAGAAAAACATTAACTATGTGAAATTCTATTACAAAATCCTACCCTATTTCTTGTTTATATAATTTCATCACAGTCTCTTGTCAAATAATATTTTTTTCCATTTATTTATATTAATTAAACTATTAAAATACCTATTTGTTTTTCTATTTTCAGGAGTAATTGGACCAATTTTAGTTGATGAAATAGAAAATTTTGTTCGTAAAACGGATCGTACCGATGATGTTCATTGCTTAAAAATAAGTCATGTCGGTAAGATCATCAAAGAGAATTCTTATTGATAAATAAAGTATTGCTTATAAGTCTTCTTTGACAAAAAAAAGGTTTCTAATTTAAAATAAATGCTAGAATTGAAACCTTTTTGTTTATATTTAGGTGGACATAGATTTGCTGGTAATGTAATTATTTATCCATCGGGTACATGGTATGGTCGAGTATTGACATGTCATATTCCATTATTAATTGATGCTTATACATCATCATCAACAGATTTAAAAGACAAATTAAAACCTCTTCTGCGTGGATATTTACAAACAAGTTGATAAATCAAACAGAGCTTTCATCAAAAGTTTTTTTACTGCTAATTTTTTTTCTGTGTATTTGCTCTTTTCTAGAATAGATAATAAATAATGTAGGGATTGTCTATCTATTCTTACCAGAGATGTCCATCGCGGCTGACAATCTGCCGCTGCCGCGCCGCGGCCTTAGAAAAAAAAAGCTGCCGCACCGCTGCCGCGCCGCGGCGGTTTATAAAAAAATGTTGCCGCGACGCTGCCGCACCGCGATGACTTATAAAAGAAACGCTGCCGCG